CCCCCCCCCCCCCCCCACAACATGATATATTATTCTAAATATAAATATAGGTGAATACTTATGAATACCTATGAATATCTTGGTGAATACCATTGCTAAACAATGGTATTCAAAAAGCCAAGAACGCATAACGACATGATTGTCAACATAGGTTAAATTTACAAATAAAAACGAAAGATAGCATTAAATATTTAGGACTACAACTTGACCCAAAATGGTCATTCAAAGATCACGCGAAGCAAACGGCATAAAAGGCAAATAAAACAGTCAAAACCCTTGGAAGAATACTACCCAATATAAGCGCCTCCAACACGAGAAGAAGAAGACCATTAGTAAACGTGGTTCACTCGTGTTACTATATGGAGGTCCGATATGAGCCAGCGTAAAGACTACATCCGGCTGGAAAGAGATAACAAAAGTACAAAGAAGAATGGCGTTGCGAGTGATTATGGCGTTATGGCGTACTGTAGTCTCGATAGAAGCCGTACAGGTGATAGCGGACATATTACCTATTGAATTAATGGCGCAAGGAAAAATACACAATACGAATCCAGAAAACAAGAACCACTTGACAACCAGAACAGAGAGGAACTAAGAACGAAACTAGAGCAATATAGGCAAGAAAAATGGGAAGCGTCATCAAAGGGCAGATGGACCTTTAGACTCATAAGATACATTGGAAAATTGAGGAATAGAAAGCATGACGAAGTAAACTTCAACCATAGAACACTATAGAAGCGACTCTCGGGCGGCCAATGTTAATGTGTTTAGAATTCTAAACGGCCTTGAAATGGTACGTAACTTACAACATCATTCTTGTTATTACGAATAATCACACAATAAATATGTGATAAGAGTATTATAAAATTATAAATTATATTTTAATTTTTTTTTTGATATTTAACATCAATTTTTTTCGATTTTTTATTTTATATGATACGAATATTGAATTTATGATGGCTAATATATTTTTAAGATATTTATTCAATAAATTTGTATGTAGTTTGTTTTTCGGATATGATTTTATTAAAATGCATAATTATTTAATATCATTGATAATCAATGTTAATATATACAATGCATATGAATTATCTACCTTCTATAAGATAATTTAACAAAATATATACATAACAATATTTATAAATGACATAAAATTTGCAATTTTCTATTTTTCATGCGAGGTATTCGCAAATTACGGTTAATTCTGGTCAAAGTAGTATAAATTCTAAATCTTATAAATAAGTTTAACAAATAGCCATGGGGGAATTGTTTACAGGGTTGTTCAAAGTATACATTTAATATTAAAGTTTTAAGTTTTTTCCCAACTTTAGGTGATGTTTTCTAAAGTAGGAAATTGATTTGTAAATACAGGGTGTTTCTGAAGTGTGTGAGGTAATTAGTATACGCATACTCACTGTGATGTCACAATGAAGAGTTTTTTGGAATTTTTTTTCTAACTTCAAAATCAGGGTTTTTTAAATTTATTTTTAGAATATTATCTTGAATGTAAAAATAAACACTCTAGTCGTATTTTTTGCAAAATTCTCATACGAATCGAGATATCACATCATTTTTGCGCTTGTCGCGCGTTTTTCGCGCTCGAATCGCCAACTAAAAAAAAAGTCGTGCGACACATCGATTTGTATGAGAATACTGCAAGATAATCAGGTGCTTCGCAGCATACCTGCATAAGTATGGTTAGCTGCCAAGGAGTGGATGCTGGTATTGTGGGGAGCACAATGATGCTGAGCATACCATCTTTTGATGCAACCGATGACACAGAGGAATCCCGTGTTGAGGCAATGATTGGACAAGACATTAACCCAGAAAATGTATTTGACCTGATGATCAAAAAGAGAGAATGGTGGGAGCAAATTGACGGCTACATCAACCACATCATGGGGCAGAAATAAAAAGACGAGAGGAAAAGACAAAATAACCGAGAATTAACTAGTATAAGTATATAGGTAGTAAGTTTATATGTGGGTCGAAGACCAAAGTAGAGGAGATAGAGCCCCTCGTGAAATGTAAAAAACCTATACGCTTGGATATTATTTGTGAAAAATGTATTGAAAAACAATAAACGATGGAGTTGGGGGGTGAAATGATTAACTTCAGTGCCACCCCCCAATCACGATTTTAAAATGCAAAAAAAAAACATAAATGTGGATATATACTATATTATACTTTTTCTAAAATATTTCTAAGCTCCTCGGCAAATTAAATTCTTTAACTTAGTACTTGTTTTTATGAAAAGAAGAAATCTTTTTTTTATTATTTAGTTCAGTTTACAGACGTATAAGTAAAAATATTCAAAATAATTAGTTTTAAAGAGACTAATGAATAAATATTATATCTTCAAAAAAGTTATAAATTAAATATTTAACTAAAAATCATACACAAGGATAGATACAAAAACAAAACTTAAGTATAATTATGATAATTATTAAAAACTAAAAATCACATACCTTTTTTAGTTGCGTTTCATTTTCATCAAATTGCTTTAAATGTTCTTTGAGGAGTTTGTTTATGTTTTGAGGACTAATTTTCTTGTAATCTAGAAAAAAGTTAAGTAAATTATATATTTAAAATTAAACTTAGGTAGATTTTAATTTAGCGTTGTAGCATTTATGAAAAAAAATCCTACGTTGCAATAGCGCGCTCGGATGAAGTGAAATATCTTTACAGATGGTATGAAAAAAAGGTTCATCACGGTCAAATATTATGTTTGTAATTGAAAAATTAAAAATTAAACTTTTAATTGAAATGAATTTATTATTATTATTATTATAAAACTATACAAGGATAAGCTGATAAGACAAATTGACAATTATTTATAACTATAGAAACCTTAGGGTCAGTTGTACCATCTCCGATTAAAGTTAACCGAAGTTAAATCGGCCGAATTTGGCCGGTTATATTCTGTTGGTAATGCTTTTGAAAACTACTTGAAATTTTAAAGTTAAACTTCCCGAATGCACAACAACATTCACCGAACCAGCGGAAAAGATACTGATGTTAAAAATCGAAGCATTACTTATTTATTTCGGCTACTTATTGTACTCGTGATTCGTGGTGTACAGATTCAAAAAATAACAACACACCATTGTAAAATCAATACATTCATCGCTCAGCTGATAATCTAAAATTAAATAAATGTTCTTACCACGACAATTATTAAATGATAAATTTATAATAAATTGATAATTAACAAGATAATAGTTTGGAATAAGTGGAAATTGGAGGTATGAACAACGCAGTTCAATGCTGTACGTGATATTGGACAGACTTCCATATAATACTAGTGAACTCCCGCTATCAGTTGAAGTCTGTTTGTCAATTGACATCTTATGGTATTTTCTAATATGGTAAATATCAATTATGTTGTATTGAATTTTACTATTTCTAAACCTAGTAAAAAAATCTAGTATTATGTAAAAGTCTGTGGGTCCAACACATAAAATATAATTTGTTACTGCGGTGGTTTTGGCCACTATAGTATGTAAAAGTATATTATCAATGTTTAAAAATGTTTAAAATCTGTAAAATGCAATATGAGTATATGACATAATTATTTTACTTTTAAATTAAAAAGTACAAAATTCTAAAATTTAAATTTACAACTGTAAAAAAAAAGAGTAATAAAAATGTTAGGTTTTAACCTAGAAGTTAAAAGGGTTAGGATAAAAATAAACAATTAGCGCTAATTAAATTATTATTTCGTGATTATCACTATTTTATTACCGCCTAAAACTATATTTTGTATTTTTGTAAGTTAGGTCAGATTTGTTTAGGTATAAAATATCAATTATCAAACGCATCATTTTATTTTACTGTTACAAATTACAATAGAGCGCTCTGTTATCCAAAACTCATCAGTCAAAGAGTTTAAGACACTTCGGGCATCGATTAAATACCTATACATAATATATAGCATTAAATATATTACGTATATTTAATCAATGATTCGGGATCTCGTCATCGAACCAGTATATCTTTATTCATTAATAGTGTCCTCAACTAAGAGTTAGATGTTTCGGGACCCAATTTAGACTTGGGAATACAGGGTAATAGTAAATAATAAAAACAAAGACTTACTTAAATACAAAAAAGCTTGCGCTCGCTTAAATTCAATATTTGAATATCTGGATTCCTTCTCGGTTGCTCCAATCTAAAAAAAAATGTATAATAATTTAATCGTTTTCTCTATGCGTTGGACTTGAATTTTACTACAATCACAATATTATACCTAAAAATATGCAATATGTATAAAGAACACATATTATTATGAAGCACCACCTCACAAGTAATTTCAGAAATAAAAAATGTTTGTTTATTTTGTATTGGAACTATTTTAAATTTTATTCGTATAATTTAATTTAAAATATTTAATATATATTATATACTATACACTATAGATGCTTTAGAGTTTAGATACACAACAATTCGGAATATTCAATTATGCCCCGATTTAAGTGCACGTCCTGTGTGGCTGCATTTACGATCATCTATCGTGTAGTTTCTTTTAATAATTCTGATTTATTATTATTTTTTTTTTTATTTAATAATAATAAGCCGCAACAACTTTGGTTATTGGCTTTTGTTATACAAAATAGAATAATATAAGTATGTGTTTAAATAAAGAATATTACTTTTTATACATATAAAGAGGAAGCGGAGGGTGAGTTATACAATTCAAGTTTGGATCATATAGGATCATATTTAGATTAGGTTGTATAATTTAGTAAGTTTTAAGAAAATGAATATTTTTTGGGTGTTGTCTGGATCGGGTCCTAGTGCTTCTTGAAGGTTGTCAGCTAGCTTGAGTTTGGTTCTAGTGTCATTGAATTCTCGACAGAAACATATGATATGTTTAACTGAAGGAATTTCACCACAAGTGAGACAAAGTTCGGGGTCCGTTTTGGTCATTAGGTGTTTATGAGTTAACCATGTGTGTCCAATTCTGACTCTATTAAGAATTACTTCTTGGCGTCTGGGAAGATGGATGGTTGGCCATGGGAGAATGCTTGGTTTGATTTCGTTTAGTTTGGTTCGAAGGGTTGACCAGGTGTGTTGCCAATTTTTAAGGATATACTCAGAGATGAAGTATTTAGAATCTTGTAATGTATATGAGAAGAGGACTAGAGAGTGTGGGGATGAGATGGACTGTTACTGCACATATATCTGCTAATTTGTTTCCGGGAATACCGATATGACTTGGTATCCATATAAAGGTGATAGTCTGTGAATTGGTTTGGAGATATGATATCTGGTTCTGTATTTTTTGTGAAATGCTATTAGGTTGGAAGAAATTTTTGATGCTTGTGAGTGTAATAAGTGAATCGCTGAGTATGATAGATTTGTTTATTGTGTCTTGTTTTATAATATCTAGAGCATGTGAAATAGCCAATGCTTCAGCCGTGTATATTGAACAATAGTCAGGGAGTTTGAGCATTCGTATGGTTTCGTTGAATGTAACTGCAGCGCCTACACCAGTTTCCGTTTTGGATCCGTCCGTGAAAAAACAAATATGGTCTTGATATCCTTCAAGGATTGATTGTAGTTCATTTTTTTATATGATTGGCGTAGTTTCGCTTTTCGGTAGGGAAGATAATTTGAGATTAATGTCGATGTCCATAGTCCAGGGGGGAGTGATCGGACATTCATGGTTGATTATGTCAGAGTATTGATTTATTATTATATTTGGTATTTCATATATTAACAATTCTCATAGCTTTTTAACATTCCCATATCCAACCCCATGTCTTGCTGTATTAAATTATGATTATAAAACCAGTCTGTCATTTAGTCACCTTCCCTTCAGGTTGTGCTCTATTACTATATTCCATTTCTTAGAAATAATATCTCCGTAAGCTATTTATTTCCATACTCCTGACATTTGGAATTTTAATATCAAATGAGTTATTTTCTGTTTATATTCTACTTAATAACCCCGCCTCCCCTGATGTTAACGGTTGTGCAGGAATATATAATGTAAGTTACCTAAGTATTAAGAAAACGGGACGCCAGTCCATAGCAGCCTCATATACAAATACATGTCCAAACAACCACTGAAAATTATATAATATATGCGGTCGAAAGGAATGTGCCGACCAGTACTGCTCGGATGATAGACCAGGAACAACTACCTACATTAGAACACCGTCCATCGAAGATTTGAATAAAAACCATCGTTGCATAATATATCACGGAGCCTAGCCGTTGCACTATCAGGTTTAAACTCACTCGCACAGATATCTTGCAATGTAATAAATACTTCTTAGTTATTATGTAAATGCATATTTTAACTAAAACATTATTTAATATAGTAATTATATTTAATAGGGATACTACGTAAGTACGTCGTCCTGCGTGCTCCGATATTCTATAATACTTGCGTTGTTTAACCATCAGAGGTTCTATCAAGCGTAAAAGCAGACCCTATATCAGGGGATGACAACCAGTCGATCTTCAGAGGAATATTGGTGAATCGTATTGAAGATTAATTATACAAATATCTGTTGATTACGGGTTTAATATTAAATACACTTTTTCAATGGAGTAAAAATAAAAGAATATTATTATGCTGCGTGTACCAACAATGTAAATAACGGTAAATGATGTGACGTGCCTATCACAACTTAATTTCGGTGGCCACTTTTTTAATAATTTTAAGTAGAATATGTATTTCTAACAGTATTTGACCCTTTGAAAATAGTTTTACGTTTTATTATTTTAAACGTATGTACATTAAATGTATCATCAGGCTATGATTGTTAATATGTCCATACGTAAGCACATACAGTAGTAATCTAGGTCAAGACGCTAAGCGTGGCATATTATATACAACTTCCTTAAGCTCGTGGTGGCAAGGTTGATAAATGCATACACTCAACACAGCTTACCGCCGAAACTATTGAGATTTAAATCGCGGCGCGAAGATCAGCGGTCACCGTCACAGGAGCTGTATGAGAAGAACGAACTCAGTACGACGGATGACGGTGTATCTGAGTCAACTAGCTTTATTAGCTCACTATAGTGTTAACGAGTACTAAGTTGCATTCTAATAAACAATAAATAAATTATATATGTATTATAGAAATGTTGATTACCAACGACCGTCTATATAATTATAGTAACCACACTATATATTGTACCAAATAAAACAAAACATAGGTGGATATATAGTTTAAATAAATCAATAATATAGGTACTGTTTTGTTTTGAAACTCACATTCCGTACCATTTAGTCTCTTTTTTAGTCAATAATATTTCCAGTTCCGTATCACTTGATCGCTACCGAAAAACCCCTTTCCGTTTTTTTTCTTTTAAATAACATAGGTTAGCCTTTTTTTCTTGTAGCATCACTACATGGGGCCGAAACACACATGAGGTCAAGCTAGTTTTCCATGTTGTGTTGCGAGCCTTTGAATCTCCGCATATAACATTAAACATGTAATAGAATATATTAATATATTATATTATAATATAGTATAGGATACACCTTTCACAATGTATAAACTATTGTCAAACTCACGGTCCTTACGAAATAGCGTACGAATAACCTTTCCCAATGTAAAATACCGTCGCCGCCGGCGCGCGGCGCAAAACAACGAATGTACTATTAGTAGTAGTTAGCTTCTCTCCATGTATAATAAATCATAGGACGGGCATACGATTAGAAATCTTAAGGATAGCTGCCTTCCTAGGAATTTATAATAACAACCGAAAATGACATCACACCTGCAAGCCGCACATAAAGGAGCCGACACCACTTTAAGCGAGCCCCTACGAGCCTGGGGAGACGTATCATAGCCACGAAGATCGGAGCAACTCCTCCTGACATCTTCATAGTTTTAACTACAAGCATATTCGCGCCAGTAAACTCTCTGCAAATATTCTAACAGTTTTACGTTCGCATAAAATTTAAGTTAGTAAATAGCACATTGGCTCGAATTATTTACACCATGTCTTTCGACTTTCATCATCTTGTACATCAGCATATGTAAGCGGGATCGCTACAATACTAAAATCACGATTAATAAATGAATGGGAAAGGTGTAGGAGAGTAAAAAATACTTAACGAACTATTCTGATTTCTGATACTTACCAAATACACAACTAAAAAATCATTAAAATCGGCGGAGCCGTTTTGGAGTTTATGTATATTATTTTTTTATTATTTTTAAATCACACAGATTATTATTTTAGTTAACGTAACTTATTTGAAATTATTATTATTATTATTATTATTATTATTATTATTATTATTATTATAGATTGATCCATGTTTGTATTGACGCTATAGACTGCCGTCCAGCTTTCTTAATAATAATGTAATTTACATTATATTCCTACACAACCAATTTGGCTAAGAATTATTTGACCAGTAATATCTTTGGACTTAGAACATATACTAGGCAAGCCGATTATTTTCCAACACTTCGAATAATTCACTGAGCGGATTATTCTAGTTCAACATAACAGTTTTACAGTTATACATTTAATGTGTTTGATTTGGAGCATTTAATATGTAAATTAATACAATTAACATTCAGACTAAGCAATTTATCACAGGTACACCTCTTCTTTTCCTTGCAATGACACCTAAGCGGCAGATCGCCACATTGACTACTGACATGTACTGACGTCCCGCTATATACGTATATACTTAAGATCGAGAGGGGGACGCATGGGATTGTTCACACTAGGATGTGATTGACCCCGGGAAAGCGCCTTGAAATAATTAGAATAACAACTAAAGTTATTGTGTGGCGTAGTTCTGAGATCTCGACAAACGAAATTGCGTTGCGAAAGATATGTGGAGATAAATAGAAACATGGATATCTATGGACATATATAATGAGTATAATAAATATTGTTCTATTATAATAAATAGCCGTCAAATAATATATCGACAGCGACAACCGCGTAGGAGGAAACCGTTTCCTGGAACTCGTACGCACACGTGCAATAGTAAACGGGGTCAGCGCTATCTTATCGCTAAGAGAAGAGTGGAGATTAGGCCTATAAAACAGGGACCCCAGCCACCCCGATATTCAGACGTGATTTACCAGAGCCAGTACACGCACCTTTACGCCAGTCGACTCTCTGATAAATTTCAGTGTTATAAAATATTCTATCAGTTTTACATGCCAAATAAAGTCTATGTTCATAATAATCAAAATTGACTAAGAAATTATTTACACCTTGTCGTCTTTCATCTTGTACGCCACAATCTGTAGGCTGGACAACAACACTACTTTTTATAAATTGTTTATAATATTTGTAAAAGCCAAAAGGTTTGGGTTATAAAATGTTTTTGAACTTACTTTTACATTGATCATTATTTTAAATTTGTATTTGAAACTATAATAGGTATTTGTAAACTGATATACTAGTTAAGTATAAGGAATATAAAATAAATATTGTATATCCGTCTAGGAAAATTAATTTTTTTTTTAAATGAATATTAATTACATTATATATTACAGTAGTAATAACAAATTGAGGTCGTTTATTTACATTTTTGTAAAATATAATTATGTATGAATTGATAGCCAAAACTCGTTATAGATGGGTATACAGTTACACTTATTTCAATGACCTCAATTAAAATCATAGATCGCCGCTGATAAGACGTTCATGTCCTGTCCATGTTTTTATTATCTATGGTTAAAAGTTAAACACTGTTATAATGATTACTCGAAGATTACGATGTATTAGAATATTCGATTTGTCTCGTCTCTTTGGAAGTCCAAAATAAATTGCTGATCAAAACTATTATTCCAAGTATAATTAAATATTTCAAAAGGTCGACTGGCGTGAAGGTGCTTGTAGAAGCTCGTCGAATTCACGTCTGGAAGATGGGCTATTCGGAGCTCTCCTAAACAGGCACCTACCCTTTACTTACCTTATGATAAGAGTGTTTAATTGTTGAAACTAATTTTAATTACAAAGTTTAAATAAAAAAAATGATAAGACTGTTTTTTTCCCATTATTGAGACGTACGTGCACAAATTTCACTGCGGAAATGCCATCGATCCACGCTCGTGTAAGAGCGTACATCCTGTGCAGCAGCGTTTTCGATAAAATAATTAGTAGTTTTCAATAACGATATCGTAATAATAGCATTGAGAATAAATATAAGTATATATTATAATATACCATACATATGTAATGATAATAGTGATATACTGATATAATATTATTATAAGACCCAGTAATTGTGTTATTATAGTCGCTTGCCAATACACGGTTATTAAAAATATTAATTAATTGTATTATGCCTATTCGTTTTATAGCCATATTTTGCGTCGGCCGTGCTGATCGATCACGTAGATACCGTTTTGTATGCCTTAGTTTAAAGAAGTGTAGTCAAATCACCCTTTCCTACTCGTTTGTTAAATAAGATTTATAATGGTGCCCTCAAGATTGTTGACAACTTTGCCGTATGCCGTTGTGGCATCGCATTGTGTTTTCGCCTGTACCATAATTAATCGAATATTTAGGTATAATTATAATAGGTATCTTCTTTGTAATGGTTGATTTTATTATTACTATTATTATATTCATATCACAAATTATTAAGATAAACGTAAAGCGAGTTAAGGTCCCCACACACTGCAGCGGTAGCGGTGGCAGTGGCGGTAGGAGTAAAATGAGTCCGGACACAATTTACCGCCACCACGGCGGCACCGCCAAGACAAAAATTTTACCGCTACCGCTGCAGTGTGTGAGGACCTTTACCGGTTACATTGGTACTGCTATGAACTGGCGTCCCGCGTCAAGCCTTAAAGGTTATTACAGAGTAACAACAGGCGTATAGACCAGGTACAGGTGATACACAATATATGAGGGATGCGACGCGCTTAAAGACAATAAGCAATTATCGGTAAGTATATTTTAGCCGAGTTTGTTGTTTCCTGGAATTACTTAAATAATACTTAGTCACGCATATCATTAATAATTCATTGGTGCATAGTAATCTCGAATACCACATAATAGATATTCAACTATATACATTGTGGCGCCCAGGATGCGCACTCAGGAAAGTCGCATTGGGGCGTGGGCAGTTAGTATTTACCGGCACGATAGCCGGCGGACATAATCCGTGGGAATGATACTCGTATCAAGAGGGCTAGAAGAAGTTGAGGGTAGGCCCATACAGGAGACCCCGAACAGCCCATATTTAGATGTGATTTGATCAGATGAGCCAGAGCACCTTCACGCCAGTCAGTCTTTTGATTGCATTATTTTGGACTAATAATAATTTTCAAACAGTTAATTATTTGAGACTTAGAAAATATTCGATTCAAACCGATATTTTCTTAACACTGAGTAATTCTCTGCGACAAATATTCTAGCACACATCCACAGTAAAATTACATTTGTTTTTATTAAATAATAATAAACTATACCACATCATACAACAAGCGTTAAACAATTAAATCAAATACACCTCATCCTATTCCTATCAAAGACACCTGTAGTCGCCAGACCACTACAGTACCTATTAACATTTGAAATACCGCCAGCGCTATATTACCTAAATAATGTTACTAAATTAAGGTAATCAACAACCTAAAATAACTTAATAAACAGGCGAAGCATTCCGAATGTGTGAGAGATTGTTCATCACACAAGGTGAAATGCGATGGAACGTGGAAAAGTGAGTGGTTCTTTGTTGTCTATAGAAAAGGGTAGGGGGACAAGGGGTAAGATGGACAATACAATGAACTACAATGTGTGGGAAACAGTTTGAGAACCTCCGTTCAGTACAACGGACGGCGGCAGAGTCTCAGCACAGTTCCTTTGCCGAAAATACCGGTAACGGACTACCCTAACATGCTTCGACTCACAATGCACACAGCCCATGTCATACAACCATGTTTCAGTTTGACCGTTTACCGGAAACACATGTGCGCGCATACGCACAAGACAAATCAAGTAATGCGATGACGATTAAAATCGTATATTTTACATTTTCCCACGGTTGGAGACTATTAGAATGACTAATGAGTCACTTTGGTATGCGTTAATTACGATCTAACGACCCACACACACACACATACAGAGTGAGAGCGACATTATAGTATCATATTTTTTAAGTTTTGTGGTTTTGTGTCGGGTCATTGCGGGGCCCTAGGAGTTGCGACTTTAACGGTCGCGGCGACACGACGCACTGAGCGCCGAAAAATTAAATCGCAAACAACAATAATTGGCACAGGTTGGGACATAGATAAAACCGGTCAGCGTGTGTTAGTATACCTACGAACACAAGTGTGAAGACGAAAAACCGTGAACCTATCACAATAATAAGCGCAATAATACTGTATCAAACAATCTTACCGCTGACTGGCTGGCCGAACTTTCACCGTACATTCGGGGGTTACTTTTTTCAAGGTCACGTGGCAGAGGTGCCGCTCCGCCGTCATCCCTCCTGCGGATCTTTTTCCTCGGTGGTTCGGTATTGCGCGTAGTTAAACTTAGGCGGCCTGACCTCTTGCGGAACACCGCACCATCGAGCACGAAAGAGTTCATTGAATAACGAAAAAAATCAACGCCACGGTAATCACGAGAACATAATATTGTTTGTGGAACTGAAGTTTAAAGAGACACTATATTATTAACGGAGAAAATAGGAAAACTTAGGATTAAACATAGATTAAATACTAACTAAATGAATTAAGAGTAAAATAAATAAAAAAAAAACGATTGTAAATCACATATTCGTTGCAGTCTAATCACGTCGTTCGGTAATTCGAGTTCCGTAATGTTTACATGGGTAACCGGCCGAACTACTACTCATTACGAATACGACGACGACGACGACGACGATGACGACGAGGAGCAACGGACATACATCGAGAGCGAACGGCGGTGATAACAAGACTGACGGCAGACGGACCGACGGTCGACGCACTCGACGGAGTAGGAATACGCACTATCATGCCACTGCGGACGACGGTTGGCCGCCTGGCGAACGTCCGCGAGTCTGTCCGATAGGGGCGCGCGCGAGGTGATAAACAGGTACGCTCCTGACCGAGCGCACACGAAAATACGACTGCCATGGAATTACAAAATCTTTGTCGGCGGTGATCGACGATTGTCGAATAATGGCAAAGGCACTGCGAACTATACAGTGTTATAAGTTTAATAATTATTATTTAGCTACTTTTTCTTTACTTATCAGTTATCACCACTGCCCGAGTTGCGCACGCTGGACAGATAAGATGTGGCGGCTTCCCCCTCTGCACTACTCAATCGTCATTAATATATTTTTATTACGCACACATTAGTCCGTCCGGCGCAAAGCACCAATTAATAATTATTATAAAATACTCGGTGATTAATGATGATAAAAAATATCAAACAATTATTATAATAATCAAAATTATTTTAATTTATACCGGTCTTAGTTTATTGTATACTACGATAAGAGTATAATATTTTAGTCATTAAAATAATTGTATTTTGTGTAATATTCAATGATAATATTTATATTATCGTATCGAAAACTTAGAATTGAAAAACCATTACGATCTTAACCATTAAGAAAACCTTTTTAATCTCTCCGTTTCCTGTTTAATATCCGTAAGAACGAGATAATATTTTTTTCTTGTATCAATAGATTAACCATTAATAATTAGGTATCTAATATTATTTTTTATATGTTATATCGTACTTTTTGTTACGAACTACACTACTGCAGCCATTGTGGACGGTAACGCAACTACAGAGTACTGAGAAGAATCGAGGAAAAAGTCAAGAATAAAAAGAAAAACTCATAAGAAAAAAAATCATAAAAATGAAAACCAAATTTTGATATTTTGCTATTATGTCATATTTCATTAGACATAAGATTTAATATTCTAATTAAAAATTTGCCAGGTATACTCATTACTTGTACTTATAATATCATAAAATTAATAAATTAGAGGAAATAAATTAAATACAGGACCTATAAAATACAATTTGAAATAACTGTATCCATTACCACATTATAAATTATAATAAAATAAATCAATTTCCATTATTTAAATATAATATGTTTAACTGAATTTCACATGGTTCATATTAAAAGGTTGGTAAATAAGAATTTATAAATAGACACTAAATGTTTATATCCGCAATTTTTATACCTACCGCATACAATTTTCAAAATATTTTGATTCGTTTTGAGCTGTATTACGGTCATTTTCAACTTTTAATTTTTTTAGTTTTTTTTTTTATAAATAAAATTCATTTGTTGGGTCAAAAAGAGGGAAAATACAAATGCTAATACAAGGCTCCAGATATATTGTTACAATATCAGTTAATAAATATTTAAAATACACGAAAACGATTTTTCTTTATAAACATAGTTTAAATGTTGACAATACGTATCAAATTATTCAAATTGAAAATGTGCAAATTATTTTGTAGTTAAATATTTAGAAAATGTTCAACTTTTATAGCTAAGGATCAAAAATTTAAAACAAAATTGCACATAAATAGTTAATTCTGTAACCAAAGTATCTAAAAAATATATAAACACAGTTTTTTTTATAGTTATTTTATGTTCAAATTTTTTTTCAAAGTATTTTCAAATTACTTAATATTAGATAACCAAGAATAATGATTTAAGTCGTTTTGTTGTAATTTAAAAATATTATTCGTGGGCACTTGAAACTTTTAGAGTATACGTATATTATTATATTTTATACACACAATGACTTTTCAAACGAAATTGTTGGCAAAAACGAATGTAAACTACTGTAGTACTAATGCTTAATATTAAAATAATTGACTTTAATCACAATAATATCATCAAAAATTTTAAATTACTTAGTAATATTATAGGCTGACTTTCTGAAAGACCATCTCGGCATCTCTCAGAATAGTTTAATCAAGGGTTTAATCTTTAATGGATAATAAGTAATAACGGACTGTCACCGGTGCTGAGACAAATATTGTTGTCGTTGCGACAGCTACACATATTATACACTTCTATACCGCGTTATGACCAGTCGTATAACCAAAACAATTTCCTCCGTCACATCGCTCACAATATTATGGTTAAAGGCTCGGACACATAGAACGCGATCTGTCGCGGCGGACAGCGGCCCGTTTGTAATTAAATACAGAATTCGACCTTTAACCGTCACGATAATCATATATACAATATACATATACGATATCACCTTTCGCTGCGACAGACCGCGTTCTGTGTGCTCGGGCCTTAAATGAGACTCAATAGCCGTTTCCCGTTAGCCGCAGTTTCTACTTTATAACATATATTATGTATATTATAATATGCGGGTCGATTGCAATAGCGAGGCTCGATTTGCTACGATAGGTGCCGGTGCAATGTCCGTTACATTAGCACCACCATATTTGAAAATCCGGGGCTGATAACTTGACTGTACAAAAAGTGTGGTGCTGGTGTAACGTTACATTAGCACCACCGGGGAAATTTGATTTTTTGGGGCATTTGTGTTAGTGTACAAATGTTTATATTAGGATTACAAATGTGTACAAATGAAATAACAATCGTTGGCATAATTTTATTTCGGATTTTCAAATATAGTGGTGCTAATGTAACGGACCTGCCGGGGCACTCGATATTTTTAGACGAAAACCAATAAAAGATGCATGGTAGAATAGTCTATTTGGAATAGTGAATAGTAAAGTAAACTACAGCTTGCATGCCGCGCCAGTAGGTTGCTACTTATATAGCATATTATACCATAGTGTCACTTATTAATATTAGTAACCCAGTAAAGAGTGAATAGCAGTAACACCAATATTAGTAAGTAATAAATTGATTAAAATATTATGTATGTAGTTATGTTCAGATTATTATTCATTTTTATTAAAATGATAAATTTTTAATATTTATTCTATTGGTCTTTAAAGTAATATATGTATTCGTATTGAGATATAGTCTATATCATTATATGTACCTATACTCATAGAATAATACTGACATTCGAATTATGCCTAAACTAAACAAATCAAATATCAATATACAATATTAATTATATTTCGAGCTTTATATAATAATATTATTAATATTTATAAACTATAAACGTATTTTTCAACATCTCTGTGGTTTACAGCATCTAGGTAATAATTCTATTTGTTGTTATTATTGCCAAAATAAACTGTACTTAATTATAAATTTGCAATGTATTATATTTATACAAATTTATAAAATACGTGAATTTGGAGTGTTATTTTTAAATTTATAAAAGAAAGTATAATTGTTTACTATTGTCAGTATGTCAGTATGTGTGTGTTATACTTATATTAAACAAAAGTAACTATAGTCTATTGTAGTGATCTGACGACTACTTCAGTGTCAGTCTACAGGTGTTGTTTAGAGAAAAAAGACGAGGTGTATTTCAAATGAACTCATAAACTGATTATTTGTGGTATAATTTATTTTAATATTCAATTAAACGTATGGAATTTAAACTGACAAATTGTTGTTCTGTATCACAATATTTGTCTCTGAGAATTATTCTAAGTGTTCAGAAAATTCGGTTTGACTCGAATATTTTGTAAGTCCAAATAAGTAATCAAAAGACAGACTAGCGTGAAGGTGCTCCGGCTCGTCTGACCAAATCATATCTGAATATGGGCTGTTCGGGGCTCTCCTAAATAGGCCTGCCCTCTACTTCTCCTAGCCCTGTCGATACGAGTATCAGTCCCACGGATAATGTGTTCGCTGGCTACAGCGGCGGTTCCAGAGGGGGGAGGGGGTAATCGGAAAAAAAGACCAAGGAAAAAAAGACCAAGGAAAAAAAGACCAAGAAAAAAAGACCAAGGAAAAAAAGACCAACAGAAAAAAAGACCAAAGAAAAAAAGGACAATTTACAATTTTTGAAAACTACATTTTAAAACCGAGAATAATCATTTTAGTTATTTTGTTGTAATTTTATAATTAATATGTACATTATAATATATTTTTTGGATATTATACACAATTTAAATTTAATAAAAGGAGAAATTACCTTCATTACAAATTTACATAATATTATTTATACGCCATCAAGTAAACGGTATACACACAGAAAATTGCCTATATTGAACTCCTTAAAAATACAAATCTTCATCTCTATATTATTATATTAAATACAATATAACTTGTGGTATAATAATATAGAGTAAAATAAATTTTTATTACTGGAAATTCCCTATGTTGAGATCACAGTGACCTTTTCACACTTTATCATAAAATATAACTAGTGGTAAAATATAAAGTAAATATTATATTAAATACAATATAATTTGTGGTATGATATAGAGTAAAATAAATTTTTATTACTGGAAATTCCCTATGCAGAGATCACAGTGACATTTTCATACGTTTATGCTATTATTTTAGTGAACAACATTTAGTCTGTTGACAGTCACTGAAGTGTTAAAGTGTTTTAAATAATATAAAAATTTGAAATGGAAGTTTTTAAATCCAACAAAGGCGGTGACAAAATGCCTTTTGAAGGCTACACATATACAGTTGTGTAACAGCGTATTTTATTTTAATGTGTTTTATTATTAATTACTATTTATATTTTGACTTATTTACAACATTAACTGTTTACAGTGTTACCAGTGTTACAGTACTATATTTTATATCATAAAATTACAACAAAATAACTAAAATGATTATTCTCGGTTTTAAAATGTAGTTTTCAAAAATTGTAAATTGTCCTTTTTTTCATTGGTCTTTTTTTCTGTTGGTCTTTTTTTCCTTGGTCTTTTTTTCCGGGATTCGGGGGAGGGGCTAGGGCCTAAAATTACAAACAAAAAAACATATTATAGTATCGAATATTAAAGACCCGCGTAAAAGTATGTAATTATTGGAGGTACGTCGGTGTATGAGTTGTAACATGCATCTACTATTTGTGTGGACTACGAGAATACTAAATAACTTGGGGAAAACTAAGAATATTGTTTTGATAAGAATTGTATTGTTATTATTCTAAAAATAAATAATAAAAGTTGTAAAAATTGTTGTTTTGAGTTTTGTGAATATTACAACTATTAGGCCCCCCTCCCCAACCAAGTCTCCCATGGCCGGCTATCGTTCTGGAAAATACTAACGGCCCACACTCCGATACGACTTTTCTGAGTGTGCATCCCGAGTATCGCAATATGGGTGTTCGAAATTCGAATATCTATTATGTTGTATTCATGATTACTATTACAATAATTGCACCAACGAACGTCGAACATATAAGTCATATGCGTTATTTTATATTATTATTTCATACTCCCATAATACCCATCATCTACTGTATTTCCAACTCGTTTGAATATATTAACCCTTTTCTTTATGAATTGTTTAACGCGCCGCCTCCCTCGGATATTGTTTATTACCTACCTGTACCTGGTCTATACGCCATGTTAATTATCTCTACCAAGGTCTAACGCGAGACGCCAGTCCATAGCAGTAACGTGCTTTAAAAGTTAGAACATGATTAATAGTCTGGCACTACGCAATATATCAACTCTAATCTGTGTAGCAAAATCTATTAAAAAATCACTAGATTCATGGACAACTACATAAGTTGAAACTATTTAAACAATTGACAACCAGACAAACGTGTGTGGAAATCGTGTAGGTAGCAGTGCACTCGTGCAGACCCTATAAAATTAGCAATGATAGGCATGGAGCGAGATGATGGTCGCATACTCGCATCGTTTTTCAAAAATAACAACTTTCCATGAAAACAGATCAGACATCATGAAATCAATAGGGAGCCAGGAGAACAGTATATTATGCAGATGTACCATAGCGGTTGGAACCGAGCACCTTCAAGCTACTCACATTTTTACGCAAATTGTGCACTTTTGTAATTTTTGCTTAAATTAAATAGAAATAAACTATAAATTATCATTATATAATAATATACTGTGGATGTTGTCTTCAACTATTTATTAAAACAGTACAACACCAACATCTGGATCTCCGGCAGTCCACACATGACATACAACCGGATTCAAAGTTTGTAATTATTATTTGCATTTAAGATTTAGCTAGCTATTTAGCTTTTCTCACCACACATAAGCTAGCAAAAAAACTTTAAGAATTCTTATAAATAATTATGACTTATCGAAATAAATTAAGTGGTACTTACCGGAGGAGAATCTATTCATAAACAAGCAAGGAAAGTACACTTACTTTTGATTAAATACAACAGACATTTTACACTTTGAGTCACTATTGCCAAAAGTGCTTTGATATATGAACTATTGAATCATGAAAATATTATAAAGTAAATAATAACTAAAATAAGCACATAAGAGCTACTATATAAGAAAACTAGATTTGAATTCATTTCAGTTAAAACAATAAATAAATAAAATAAATAAATTTATATCAAATTTTTATTTATTTATATACTATATATTTCACACATTAGATATTTACTTATATTCTACCTAATGTCACACATTCTAAAGGAATTATTTTTGTTTTTATTTTACAAGGAGTTGACAGTTTTTTGTTGGGATACCTATCATTAATTATTTTTTAAATTAAAGTTTAATATAAGATTATTTTTTTTTATCTTTTTCTATTACTATATAATGTTAACATCTTTAGCACCACAAGGCCTGGCCTCAAAATGTCTAGATATATATCGTTACATCTTAGTGTCTTACCCATTTATTTTATAAAAATGATGATTGTGTCATAGATTGGCCATGGTGTAACAAATAAGTAATTACTGAGTTTAGAGAATAAAATTTGCTTTAACTGTAAATGTTGTCGTAGGTAATACATTTATTTGTAGATTATCTAGTTATTTTGATAAGTATGAATATTATTCCTAAGTAGTTCATGAAACTCAGTACAAACAGAATGTGCTTGAACTTTATAAGCAACATATTATTATTACATTATTAAATGGTTTTTTTAATGCAATTTAAAAATAAACAATGTTTCTAATTTTAAAAATAATATAATTTTTACTAATATTCCCTTTTTAAACAGGTTTTTAATTTTTTTTTTTTTATCTGGACATTGTTACCTTGGTACAGATTATAGGTATTATATTTATGAATTGTTTTCAAATACATATAGATAAAATAAATTATGTTGTACATTATGATAGTCAATAATTACTAAATTATTGTTTTATGTTTTATTTTGCGAGCGGTCGCACTTGTCGCTTCAATGGGACTGCTGAACTGTTCACAAATTCACTATGTAGTTGTTTTGTAGAGCACCACTACATCTTGGGCATTGCAACAGGCACTATTTTTTTTAGTATTTAAAGTTCAAATATAAACAAATTCATCATAACCTCATTGTGCTGTTAATTGATATTAACTCAAATTTAAAAAATGATATAATTTATTATATAAACAATAAAATACTATAATAAGATAATTAATTCAACCTACTGTATTACTCATACTAAAATAAACTATTACAGTAGCAATATTAATATATAATAAAATGTACTTGATAACAACCTGACAAACTGTCTCCAGAACTCTCGTATTATTTATCATTGAATTTAAATTTGACACACCTACTCAAATTACCCAAGGTGCACTGAACATATACTGTACAGCAAGCTACACACTATTTTTTAAGTTTTTCTTACCCATGACAGTTGTATAATATCTCAAATATAATTAAACTTATACGATGTTTTTACATCATACAAATAAAAACTTCAGCATATAGAAATAGCAGATTATAAAACATAATGCAAGTAAAAAGAACTTGTAAAAATTATGTATTTTAAGCCATAGGGTAAAAAAAATTTCCTCTTAATATCTTTTATTTACCAATACTTAAAAAAATATATACAATTGAATAAGTAGGATTTCTAAATTTCATTAATAGCTTAATAGTCACCACAAAATTGTCTATACAATAGCTATTGCTTATACAGTACAACTGTGTATTATAAAATAAAAGGTATAATGGATAGCTTTTCTTAGCAATTATTGAATAATCGTTGATTTTGCATTATATACGTTATCATTTACATTTACATAATTTTAAAGATGTAACACAATAGAAATGTTTATTTGAAACTAAATAAATACTATACTATTATATGCAGGGGTTAAAGTGGGGGGAGGGGCGCAGGAGGACTCAGTCGCCCTACCTCTGACAGCGGTTAAAAAGCGTCCCCTTTAACAAATTAGGATTTTATACATTAGACATTGTACATAAAAATATATATGGAACGCTTATAATTATATGGAGACATTAGTCCCCTCTGAAATATTTTCCCACTTTAAACCTTGATTATAAGTTATAACATAATAAAATAAAGTTAAAAATAATATTTCAGACTTTTAATTGAGTATAGTATTGACTATAATCACAAATATATTAAATTTCACATTTAAAAAAAAGTAAATATCATGCTGAAAAGTGTTTAGACCTGAGTGTAGACAATTGGAAGTATATAAATCATCACAGGAATTATTTAATTATTACACGAAATTCGAAAATTAAAGAATTTGTTTGGCATAAATAAATTAATACAATTTATTTGAAGTGATTGTTAAAATTTAATTAATACTGAATACTTAATTTAGCTTGTATATCATCCAGAATTTGTTGTAATTCATCGTCATCGAATCTACCTTCCAAACTGGGTATAAGTGATTTGGCTTCATCGGCGAGTTGTGGACATAAGTTACCTATTGACGCCAGTTCAAACTTGTGTAATTTTTTGCCAGCAAGTAAATTTCTTACAGCAACAATGGTTTCTTTATTTTTAAATTTGGAACATTGTTCTGTATAAGTCAAAGTTTTGTTAAACACTTCAGAAAATTCTTGTTCTTCCTCCGCACTTTCGTTTTGGTTCTTGCGAAATTTCAACAACATATTTACCTAAAATCGAAATCAGATTATTAAATATGGTGGAAAGATGTATCATTTATAAGTGATAGAGGTATACTTCGGAAATAAGCAAGGTTTCAGCGTTTTCAAATTCCTTGGGAAATTGCAACAGCGCCGCATCTTCATCTACAGCAGCGTTCATATGTTGAGCCATAATAGATGATATTAAATGAAATTGAACAAATAAATAAAATTCAAAGAACTTATTATAATATTATTATTTAATATTTATTAATATTTATTAGAGTTGGAAAAGCGCAAAACGTTAACAGTAAAGGTAAACATTAAAGGAGTAGCGACATAAATGATAACGATATCCGATGATAATGTGATATGAAATAAATCAGTGGAGCCAAAATGAAATTAATCAGTAGAATTGTTTGAACTATTATTATGCTGACTGTGAATAGTAGCTATGTTCTAAAATGTTTAAAAAATAAAATTGACACGATTACAATAAAAATGTATTTTATCATATCTATTTTTCAAAGTAAAAATATTTTTTTACGGAACTCATTTTTCGCACATTATTTATGTCATTCACGCGCACGCACACATATCCACATACACAAACGTTGTTAAAATATCTGTTAAAAAATATTAAAAATACATATATATGATTTATTTTTATAAGCATTTGAAGTTCAAATGTTGACAAAATTTATCAAATTGAAAAGCTACAAATTATATTGTAGTTAAATATCTATAAAATTTTCAACTTTTATAGCTAAGGATAAAATTTTAAAACAGATAGTTGCATACATATTGTTGATTTTGTCACCAAAAAATCTTAAAAATACATAAACAGTTATACTCTTTTATAGTTATTTTATGTTCAAATTTGGATGAAATTACATGTTAATCAACCAAGAATAATGATTTAAGTTATTTTGTTGTAATTTAAAAATATTATTCGTGGGTACTAAAAACTTTTGGAGTATATTATTGTATTTTATACACACAGTGACTTTTTAAATGTATTTTTTTTTGGAAATTTTTTTTATAATTTTTTTAATTAGATTATTATAAGAAAATTTTATATCATATAAATAATCAATATATTTATTATATGGTAAATTAATTGGGCGTCTTAAAAATCGTTTAAATCCATTAAAATAAAAACGTTGTTTATGCAAATGATCATAATTGGCATAAATTATCTGTTTCATGTCTTTATAAGTATGTAAAAGACAATAGTAGCGACTAGCGAGACTAGATGGCTGATGAGAAATCATATAGTTTCTTACTTTTTTATTAACACGTTTCTGAATTCTTGAGAGTAGCAATACATTTGTTTTTTTTGGTTATTTACTTGTGAAAAAGGCGTATTCTGAATTAGGTCATATTTATGTTTGCTCCCACGCACAATGTCACTTTATACGGCCCTGAAAGGCATGTTCATTTGTCTATAAATTACTATTTTTTTATGTAATATAATATTTTACGAGTGTTTTCAAATTCAAAATTTGTTACATGTTAGTCGAAACTTGACAATACAGTATACCTATATTATAATATAGATAATTCATGACATATTGAAATATTGAGTGTGAAACTGTGAAGTGAACACCCAATATTAAAATGACGTGTACTTGAGATGACGTCTTCAATCGCCATGTCGATAGGAATTTTATATTTGTAGATGTCAGCTTAGTGAAAAACGGCTATATTTCTCTACATTTTAAGGTCATAAACGCACGACTGTTCAAATAGCAACAATGCAGCAAAATTATGCTAGTACCTAATAATGCAACACATATTTTCACAACGCACTTTCGGTGGTCGGATTCTCAGAACTACGCACTCGATTTCTTATTGCGTCGTTGTTCTTAAATCCCCGAGATCGACAACTTCCCAATGTGAATAATTCTCATATTATGCCCCCCTCGCTATCTAGCCTTTAATTATATGCGTATATGGCGGGACGTCAGTACATAGCAATAGCATTATTTAATATTTAACAGGTGTTTTTATTTTTATTTTACTTTACCTATTGGCTATTGTGACTGTATGTCCAAACGAAATTTCAAAAGCGGGGCTTCAAGAAAAAAAAAGAATGGATCAAGATTTATTAAGTAAAAGAAGTTTTTTTATATACAATATGTAGGCGCTAGATATATGTGGCCCTAATAAGTAATAAATATATCCCGGTAAAAAAAAGAGTACTTCTCCGCCCATGACGAATACTACTACAGAGTACACTAGTACACACTAATAACTAGAGTGATAAGTTAAACGCCCAATGTGAATAATAATATTGGAAATACATGGTTTAATTTTACAGCATTCGCGTTATCAATTGCCCAAAATTAAACTAGCTCGATTCAACGAGACAGAATGTCCTCGTATTTTGACAACGTAAATCTTAAATCATAATATTTAAATATCATGTGCATGATAATGCATGTCACGTCTGTTTTATTTTGAATTTTGGTGTTTTAAAAACGTCGACATCCGAGTTCGAATCGCCTAGGCACTAGGCCCTAGGGTGTAATACTTTTAAGACGACCTCTTAAATTATTTTTAATATACTTACGTCTTATGGGCAATGAAACGTATTTCCAATCTCGTATAGTCGTATGCAGTTGTCACTCGTCGATGGTTCATCAAAAAATGAGGCAATATTATTTTCCATTATGATAAAATGGTATTATTAAGACAAAATTACGATATACTTCATAGTTCTATTACTTCTATTTATATATTTGAATACCTACTTCATTAGACGGGCATCCTGTAGAAAAACCGAAATAAAAATAATAATCAATGTAGGTACATATTATATACACGTCTTACATAGTTACATCGATTATGCTGTTCGAATTCTGAATTTCACAAGTCGCATGGCGATTAATAATATCATAAATGATAACGAAAAAATTATTTAAATATGTACTTTCCTAAGGCCGGTTTCACATGGACGCGTATCATACGCCATGTATCGTACGCTAGCGTTTTTAGTGTACATTGGTTAAATTCTTACGCGCCACTCCGACGGTGGCGCGTTTCCCTCTCGGGTACGGCGCGTATGAACTTAATTGATGTAAACTAAAAATGCGTGCGTACGATACGTTTCTATGCGAAACGAGCCTAACGCCTAAGGTAATACAGTAATAGGTAGTATAATACATAATATGCATAATATTTACAAAACATATATAATTTGTATAATACTGTAATGTAATACACAAATATTAATTTAAAATAGGTACACTACACTCTAATGTATAGTAAATTTATATTATAATGATATAAAAAAGGGGGAGAGAGGTACTAATTTATCAATTGATCATGAGGAGCACTGAGAAAACTCTCAATGTCCCGATGAACCTGTACGGGCCTGCTCTACAGTATTTTCATTCCTTTTCGATGCACTGAACGTTTGACCCGTCTTAACATCACACACTATCCGTGTATACAACGTTTGAACTACTCCGAAAAATATGACCGTAGTGGGTGGCCTACAAAAAGGGCACGTACATCTTTGTCCCTTGGAACACCACAGGATATTCGTACCATAAATTTCATAATTCTGCCGAAACCATTGTGACATTGTAATACTTCAGATGCCCACACATGGTTTGTGTTTTTCTGAATTCTTGCGGATTAACGATCTATTGCTATGCAAACCTTTTGAAAATTGAAAATGTCAGAAATGTCACAGTACATAATAAGATAATAAATTGAGGATAAAAACACGAACATGAAAAGAAAAGATACTATGTTTTTCGTTGCGGGGGTCGAATTATATATACAGAATACTACCATACAGATGGGGGTTTCCGTTTTCTGCCAAAATTACCCTCGCCCGTTATTACAATAGCCGTTTTCCGCCAAAAAAACTTTATACATTTTTTTGAGAACCCCTGAACCGAATCCATCAAATAGTAATGGTTGTAATCATGGGCGCCGGGTTTTCCAATTTTCATGGAGTGCCCAAAATTCTAAAATGATTGAAGTAGATAATAAGCAAAAAATGCAAAAAAAATTGAACAAATCATTACTTTTTAACCCGTTTAATGAATTTTTTTTGTATATTTTTACTATGTACCTAATATAAACAAATTATATACAAATAAGCAAAAATAATCTTTTTGTAATAGGTATATAATAATGAATTAAAATGAATTATTATGACATAATTGTATTATGAAATTTATGCATTTATAATTTATTGTATTATACAATTTCTAAGTTTCTAATAATGAATTAAAATAGCTTTACAAATTTCAAAGGTATTTTGTCTCACTTTGGTAGTCTTTATAAATTTGTTAGCAATATTTTCAATGTACCACTATTTCCGTTAAAGGCGTAGATCGTGTACGAAAAAATATGTATGAAAGCCGAGGAAAAATTTCTTAAAAAAAACTTCTATACAATCTGTACACGACTCTTTACTAGATATGAATATTTTGACAATGCAAGGTGAACCGTTTTTATTATTAAACGATGATTCTAAAAATGTTTTGATTTTTTCATGTGCAAAATATTTAAAATTTTTATGTGATGTCCAAACTATATACATAGATGGCACTTTCCAATACAGTGCTAAATTTTTTACTCAAATGTATACAATTCATGGGTACAAAAATGGGCATTATGTACCACTTGTATTTTGTTTGCTGCCTGACAAAAAAACAGAGACTATAATATAAAAATAAGTGTAATATTGGTATGTGGTTAAGGCATACCTTTGGTTTATTATATTTTTAAATCCCAGTGAAATAATGAGTTGTTTTATGGAAGATTTTATGCCACGGTGTCCATCTGATAATCGCGTTCTAACGTATTTAAATATTTATTGAACAATTACATTTTAAATACAAGTACGTTCCCCCCTAAGTTATGGGCAGAAGCAACTTCTGAATTAACAAGAACCACGAACATGTAAATCGTTTCATTCCGACTTCAATCAATCGTTTTATAAAAATTCACTTTCAATATTTACGATAATATCACATTGATGGATTCAGTACAGGGGATCTCAAAAAAATGTATAAATTTTTTTTGGTGGAAATTGGAATATAACCTTTGGCGGAAAACGGCCATGGTAATAACGGGCTAGGGTCAATTTGGCGGAAAACGGTTACGCCCATATAGACATACAGTCTACAAATCTATAGATAATAATTTATAATACAGAATTCCAGATTTATATGGTAAATATTAAAACCATTGATATGAGCACGGGAGCACTAACTAAATATATATATACTAGTAAATTAAGAAAAAAGGATTATTCCAATTAATATTAAGAAAAAAAATTGTTTAATACAAATACATATATACTAGAGGAAACATA